TAATGATTGAATAAGAATTATTTTCAGGTCTGCATTTAGCAAAATTTTTAGATCGTTCAACAAAATACGTTAATATACGAGTGACGCTTGCGAATCGCTCGCGAGCGTCGCGTGCGGTTTGTGACGCACCTATATATGTTTTTCTTCTTTTTTTTCGTTATCTTTTCCGGTAGCATCGGGGAAATTAGGGATGAGTCACGCCCGCAGTTTGAATTTGCTTCCGTGTGGGATCCCAGGCCGGATCGGGTATTTCCGCAAAATTACCGAACGGTACCGATTTGCAAATAATTCGCGGCGCGGCTTAACGAGCCCGTTACCGCACACGACGACGACGATGATGGCGACGGGGTTCATTATATGGAATAGAACAATGCGGGGGAGAGAGAGAGAGAGAGACTGAGGGAAACATTTTGAGGAACACGCATTCCTGCAATGCCTTCGCCAATCCGCGTGTTACATAAGGATCAGAATGGCGTGCGCACGTAAAGATTACGTCGCGCCGCGAAAGCTTGCTGAAACAAAGTCAAGCGGTTAAGTAAAGTCGCGTCGGAATTAGCGATTCCGATCACGTTCCGCGCGTCGTGGTTAAGCGCGATACGATCGCCCTGTGTGAACTCTTGCTTCCCGTTATATCGCGCGGAATGCCCTTTAATATTTATTAATTAAAAACAATAAAACCTAACAAAAATCCCCAAATTAAAAATACATAAGTAAGGCAGATGGGAATCAGCGTGGTTAATTGCAATATTTAATTTACATGTCAGACATTTCGGCTTTCTTAGTCTGGTTCTTCCACGTCTGGGGTACCTATAACTGCTTCCTCACTCACTAGATGTGGAAGAACACACCCGTTAAGAAACTAAGAGCGAGAGTTTAATGTAATTTTGTAATTTGTCATTGAAGTTGGCTAAGAAAGATAGCCGAAATGTCTGACTTTAGAATAAAGCAAATTTCATGTAAATTAAATATTGTGTATCACTAATCACGCTGATTCCCATCTATCTTACTTACTTACGTATTATTAATTAAATCTCTGCGAGGTCAGACACTGACCCTACTCAATCTAAAAATGAAAATTTTTGGGAAATTAATCTTCGCAAGGTCGGGAATTGATTTAATTCGATCTAATAAGGAAAATCATCAGAAATTTCTGACAATATATGACATTTCTTGACTACAAAGGATATGTAACGTTATTGAGAATTTTTGGAAAATTTTTCGATATTCAAGAATCTTCAAAAATTTCATAAATTAGTGAAAACTTACACGAAATCTCAAAAATCTTTAAAATTTACCCAAAAAAAAGAATCTATATCATATAGATCATCTTTTTTTATATTATACTTTATATGCACTATACTTTATATAAATCTTTATAGCTGAATTTTCTGTTCTTTTCTTCCACATTTCCTCTCTTTGTCTCCATCTAATTGTACGTTATTTTATTGCAAGTCTGGAAAATGCTATGCTATGTGTAGCAGTTATGAAAAATAAGCTTTTTCGGACTGCATATTCAGGTTTAAAAGCCAGCATCCTCGCAGCAGAATATTTCGTGTGAAACTACTTTATACTTTCCATATCACAATCACAGGAGTTGAAAAAAGAAATACTGAATTTAACGAATATATAAATAAATAAATAGTATAGGGAAGAGGGAGAGAGAGAGAGAAGGAGAGGAGACGAGAGGGGAGAGAGAGAGAGAGAGAGAGAGAGAGAGAGAGAGAGAGAGAGAGAGAGAGAGAGAGAGAGCATTATTTTAGTTATTTTAATAGATTTTTTCAATTTGTAACCTTATGTAACATTATGACACTAAATTTCAAATATAGATTTAAATATAGAATTTAAATGTTAATTTAAATTAATATTATTAATTAAATTAAAATAATCAAGTTAATTATTATTAAAATAAAAATAATTAATATAATTAATAAATTAATATTAATTTTTCGTTTTAATCGTTTAGAAACAAAATTAGAAAAATATATAAAAAAGTAAAATCACAAGCATAGAAATAATTAAAATTAATTTTTAAACATTTTAAAAGATGTTTAAAAATGTCTTGGCTGTTAAAAATATCGCAATACTGTCACGTCGTCACATTCAGCCGTGTTAACTCCACTCTCTTTAGTCATAATGATTTAAAAGAATGAGTTAAGAGACGATTGTTTCTCTGTGTTCAATGACTTGTCGTTGAGTTATAATGGCTCGCTATAAAAACCGATGAGTATCATTTATGATACCCGAAGACCCTAGGAGCGCACACATTTGTCCGCTCGGCAGGATGTACCACGTTCGTTTTCGAGACGACGACGAATCGCCACAGACAGCATCGTCGACAGCATCGTCGTTTCTACCTACCGTCTCTCGTTTAAACGAAACACGTCCGCTCCGATACCAAACCCACCGAGCAAAGGCGAGGAAATATTCGCTCTCCGCACGTCGTTGTGAAAACAAAAAGAGATCAGCGGAAGGAAAACAAAATCGCACAGAGAGAAGGTCCATAAAGGAAGAGATAGGAAGAGAATACGAAGAAGGAAAGAGCTAAAGAGCGAGAGAGAGAGAGAGAGAGAGAGAGGCAGAAAGAGAGAAAGGGAGGATGAGTAGAGATGCGAAAAGAGAGAAAGATACAGAGGAACGAAAAACGGAGGGAAAGAGTGAAAGCGAGATAACGAGCAAGTGGGAGAAGAAATGGAAACAAAAGGCGAAAGAGAATGGAGGGGAAGTGGGAAGAAGGACGGCAGAAGGAGGATGAGGAGGGCTGCGGGCGAATGACGTTGATGAAATGCTTCTCAGCGGTGAACATGTAACGCGACCTCGGCGGATCGAGATAAACGCATTCGCGAGTCGGATTCCTGCACCATCCTTCCCCCCCTTTCCCCCCTATTATCTTCCCTTCTCCTACCCGGTTCCCCTCGATGCCCTCTCACCCACCATCACTTCGCCGGATAGCACTGCATTCGCACGACGGCTCTTCCTTTAATCCATTCGAGCTTTATCTCATTGACGAGATAGTTGGCTCGCCGAGATACATCCGAATCCACCGGTGGTGGGTACCATACACTCTCTTCGACCAGTCCAGCGCGCCTACGATCGTTTTAATCAGTGGTTCGGATCGACTCGATTGAAATCGGCCCGAGCGCGATTGAGGCTGGCGCGTCCGCCACCACGCTCTTGCTCTACGTAAAACTGAAATCGATACCGGTTCGGTTTGCTCACCGCAAAGCTCGTGGCGGGATTTCGCGCGGGCGAAACGTGCGAAGCACCGAAAAGTCACATAGCGCCAGAAGCAAGCGTCAGCGCAGAGAAAAATCGATGGAGTTAAAAAAAGAAAAAAAAAACACCAGAAGCTGCAGAGATCATAATCCTGAAAATTATAACGTTGGAGCTTCCTTTTCCATTGGCGTTGCGAAATATAATTCTGAAGTCATTGAAGATTTCATGTGTGCGCAAAATTATTTCTCGTAAATATATAATAAGTGCATAAATATTCCACACACGTGTATGTGCATACAAAGTATAAATAGGAATAAATAATTTGCGCTCTTTTTCATATTAATAATTGTCCGACAGCATAAAAACAGATTAGTATTTTCGCATTTAATTACGCTCTAGTCATGTTTTCAGCGCGCGTGAAGAGAACAGCGCGGAATTTTGAATTCGACGACATCGAAGACAGCGGAATCGATAAGAAGCATACATGGAGAAGGTATTGCTGATTCCGCAGCGTTTTACCGTGCGCATACTAATACGTTCATTCTTATTTATAAGCCGCGGCATAGAGGTAACGCGGTGAGCCTACATAATATAGAGATTCTTGGCTAAGACTACGATGGCCTGTTTCGGCGTTTAAAAGCATCGCATTAATACGAGAGGAAGAGAGGAACAAAGGAGAGAAGAGGAGAGGAGAGGAGAGGAGAGGGGAGAGAGAGAGAGAGAGAGAGAGAGAGAGAGAGAGAGAGAGAGAAAGAGAGAGAGAGAGACGGGCTAGGAGATTCGCAATTTATATCTACGCAACCAGCGACGGGCGCGTTGCAAACACTTGAAACACACGGTGGCTGCCATCGGATTGGCCGCCTTCGTGCGCCTTATAGGGCCGCGCACATGCGCGCGGGCGTGCTGTGCGCGTCTTGCGACATCCATCAGAGGCGACCGGCTACCATCGCTGGTGTGCTACTCTTTCTCTCCGCGCGCGCGTTTCTTCCCTCTGGTGACAGCGGCGGTTGCAACCCGTCGTCACTTCACCTCCATTCCATTCGCGAGCTCGGTCCGATCGGCCCTCCTTATCCTCGCCGCATGTCCTCGCTTTGTCCTTTGTCCCCTTTTCCTTCTCTCGGCCTCCTCTTCTTCTCTGGTCCTGTTAGTCCTTTTAATCCGCAGTCCATTTTAATCCTCTTCGTCCTTCCAAGCCTTTCTAACTGTCTTAATATTTTTGTTTTGTTAACAATCTTACTTTTATGATGTGTCTCTTAGCCCTTTCATTAAATTTTTACGCCCTTTTTCTTTTATTCTCATTTGCATTTCATCCTGTTTCTTGTTTTTTCTTCTCCGATTTCAGCAGTATCTTTTCTATGATCATTTCTATATTTTGGGATTTCTTGGATTTTTTGCCTGCTCGATATTTTCTTCTTTCTAATTTTTTTTTGCTTTAATTTTCTCGTTGATAATTTTCCATTTGCCACAATCTTCCAACAGCTATGGTTTCCTTTCACGGCTATTTTCTAAATTACATATCTCGATTGCTTAAAAGGTAGAGTCACAAAGTGCTTAATAAGAGAATAATGCTACTTTTATTCACAAATTCCTGATGTAGAGGATATTACGTGTAGAAGAGGGACTTTTTGTCTGTTCTCAATTTCAAGAAAAATGACAAGTCACGATTAATGCGGACTTTTCGCCGAATATAACGTAAGAAATTTCTCGTACTTGCGCCATACTCATATTTTTTTACCGCCTTTGTCTCGTGCACGACAAAACACACGCACGGACACACCGTCGATTCGATGCGCCAACTAAAGTGTCGATACATCGATTTGTTCCAGCAGCCGCCCAGCTCGCAGGAGCGTGGCAGCGGCTTGGCTGTGGGGCGCCAGGGGGGACCCGGTAGCACGGGGGGGCCCGGTGCGGTGGACCAGGCGCGGGATCTGAGCCCCTGCCTTCCCGCGTCGATGGGCGATGCTGCACGACCCACCACTCTACCGTGCAGCCCTCCTGCCGCCCATCACCACGGATCCCATCATACGCCCCTGCATCAGACCCACTGCGGCACCAATAACAATTGTTACGATGGCTCGACCACCCCTTACGAGTCGAGGGACTACGACTCACCCGGAGGTACGACTGTCTCTTATCTTTTTATCGAAGGTGATTAAGGATAACTAAAGATAAGTTAGAAAATCAATTAACAGAAAGCCAAGTAAACACAGATTATAACTACAATGTCGCATCAGCATTGTAACATTCCAGCTGTATTGCAGAAATATTACAATGTTGTAATGTTATAATTTGTGTTTGCCGGGATTCTTTTAATAGATTCTCTAATTCATCTTTAATTATCCTTAATCTACCATCCATTAATAATTAATTGATTAGAATTGTCCTTACTTTTAATTATCTTGTCCATGATCTTTTTACTTGTATAACGTCCGAATTTAACATCTTTTTACTTCATCTCTGAAGTCTTTTGAATTTTCGTAGAGATATCAAGATTAATTGGTTTACTGAATTACATATTTCGTAGCGTAAGATGCCAATAATGCTATAGCGATAAGCAGAAACACAAGTTGATAACGAATTTTCCTTGGGGTATTCTTCAGCGGGCGGAGTACAGGAGTACAGGGGTGGGAACTTCGAGAACGCCAACGACCTAAGCATGCCGTCGCAGACTGCGCACCACCATCACCATCACCACCATCATCACCATCATCATCCCCATCTGCAAGCGCACTCCCAGGAAACCACGACGGAGCACTTGCACGCCATCCCGAAGCTGGAACCGCCGCCCACGCCGCCCGCGCAGTCCGAGGACGTTCCGGGGAACGTGGTTTGCGCGGGATGCGGCCTCAAGATATCGGACAGGTTCTACCTCCAGGCTGTCGACAAGAGGTGGCATGCCGCGTGCCTCCAATGTTCGCACTGTCGCCAGGGTCTCGACGGGGAGGTCACCTGCTTCAGCCGAGACGGGAATATCTACTGCAAGAAGGACTACTATCGGTGAGTGAACGCTTAGATTTGTAGATCTAGATATATTCTAACAATAAGTATATAAGTATATAGGTCTACCTTAGCGCGATTAGCTCCTTTATCTGTGACGTCGACGAACGAGAGAGAAAAAGTTTTATAACACGGCCGGCATTAGCCGAGGGCGAGATTGACGCGCAAATCGATGTTTGATAATAAAATAAAAACGCAGAATAAATGCAGAAGAGACGTGTGAATCAGCGAATACTCGTATACTAGGAGAAGATACGAAGTCGCTATTTAACGCGCTCGCAATTGCACTTCAGGCTCGACGAGGACCCTCTCGACTTAAGGATCGCTGAATACCTTTCGCGTAAGAGAGGGTCGACCACTTCAGGAGAGAATTCTTGATTTCTCCTGACGTGGACGATCTTATCGATGTTCGCGACTGCCGAGCGATTTCGTCCTATTTTCGATGGGAGACGAGGCCGCGGGCTCGTTACGAAGTCGCCGAGAATAGCCGCGTCGCTCACGCGAGCAAGTCAAGCGCGAAGTAATTTCTGCCGATTTCCAGGGCCGATTTGAAGAGCCGCGCTGAAAGAAAAAAAAAACGAGTCGCGTCGCCTGTTGCGTAACCGGCGTTTCTCCGCGAGCGTGCACCTGTGATTTCGGTCGTTATACGAATGCCCGCAACTACCTACAAATTGCACTGGACGGAGAGCCGCATTACGGAGGATAATGTGGAGCGCAATTTTTGAACGAGTTCCTCCTTGAGGCTGTGTGTTTCGCTCTGAGAGATACGCTCTATTCTCGTAACGTTCGTGAAAATTCAGTTCTGGAATCTCCCCCTTTTCCTTCGGGAATTTTCGGATTTCCTGTGACTCTTACGAGAAATATATTTAACGTATGAAAAAGTACATTTAAAATATAAATTGAGTCTATACACAACGAATCGTATGTTTATACACGCATTTTCTTTTAGAAAGAAGAAAAACTTCGAAACTTTAGTTTACAATGACAAAAATTTTTGGTGTTTGTAACTATAATTACAAAGTACTATAATTATGATTATTACTGTTATAATGTTAGTAATAATATAATTATAATAATTATATGCGTAGTTTTATCAACAAATATATATAGTTTGACAAATTTATAGCACTGAAGCTTACTATACATTATAGTTATTATTACCATAAAAAATGATTGCAATTATATAATATGGTTGTCTCTAAAGATAATTATAAATTATAGTTAAATAATGATAATAGCAACCATTTTTATAGTAATAACTGTAATAATGTAGTAAAATTAATACATATAAAGGGCTATGAGCCGAAGCTAGGATATGTATTTTCGCTCCAATATGTGAACATCAAAATCGTTATTAAACAAATAATGTAACAACAATTAATAACGAATGTGATATCATATTTGTTTAATAATTTTGATGTTCACATATTGGAGCGAAAATACATCCTAGCTTCGGTTCATAGCCCTTTATATGTATTAATTTTAATTTATTGAGCCTTTACCAATATTAATTATATAATATAATTATATAATTAATAAGTTTCAATGCTATATATAAATTTATCAAACTATGCTATAGATATTTGTTGATGAAACTACGCATATAATTATTACTAACATTATAACAGATAATAATCATAATTACTTGGTACACTTTGTAATTACAGTTACAAACACCAACAATTTTTCTCACAGTGTACGTTTGTAAAATTGTAAAAATTATAGATCCATAGCGAAAATAACTTTCGCCAGTTTGTCATAGGAATTTATAATAAATAAACTCTGGTAGAATCATTCTTACAACATATCGACGGCGCGTCGTTATGCAGGGCCGTAGCGGAGGGCCTGACGTCGTGTTGGGTCTCACACGGTGTCGATTCGCGCACGTTGTCGCTTCGTATGGTACAGGTATGGGGCCGGCCCGTAACGTACCGGTGATCCACGAACTAATGGTCACGACTCGACCATTTACCTCCGGCGGAGCGTCGATTGTTGATAAGTAAATCACCGTCGATCTACATTTCGCGAACGGCGGACGTGTACGTACACGTGCATCGGCGTCACCCACCCCGGTGCGCTCGATTGTTGATTTTCGAGTGACCTCTCGGGTCACGTCGATTACCAGCAATTCATCGATCGCCGAGTCTTCAGATCGCTTGGTGGAACGAGCGATGACATTCCTTTCGTCTAACATAGATATTTTCTCTCAAGTCACTGGCTTTTCGTGGTTATTGCAAAAGGAGAAATAATTGAGCATAGATATATAAGGTCAATTAGGTTCAGCTTCTATCCACGATCTTCGTGGTTTTCCTTTCCTTCTCTTTTTATAAGATGTTCATTGAAGAGTTTTTTTCGATAGTCTTTCCTCAATTGTACACATCCGAACCAATCAGCTGCTTTTCGTCGATGCAGTCTGATACTGATTTTTTAATTTCCATTTCAGCTTTTATTATTTTATTGGTTATTCTTTCTGGTCTAGAAATTCTTGCCGATCTTGTATAACATCCACCTCGATTGCTTCTAATTTTTTCATGAAGCGTTCCTTGAATCTCTATACGTTTCCAATTCGTAAATAAAAGTGTTTCTCACGATACTATCTAATGTTAATTTGCATCTTTTTGCCAACATAACTGTTTCACAAATATTTCCTCCATTTAGAACTCCAATAATCTGTTTGCACCTCTAAAATCCGGAATCTTATTTCTTCATAATCTGTTCCCCGTTGTATTAAAGGTCACTCCAAGATATTTACATTCGCCACGTAATTGTAATTATTACATATTTTTTCGATGTCTGTGACTTTTTTTTCTACACATAAGTATTGGTTTTTATCCATTCATTTATATTAATGATTCGTATGTAATTTGTAATTTTTATATTTTTCTTTCAATTTGCGTACCACATATTCAAGGCTTTCCTTATCTTTTGCACATATAACTTCAGAGAAAAAGACGTAACGGTGGCACTTATAAAGATGACAATTTCATAAGTTTTACATAAAATTAATGTACATAGTTGAACAAATATTTTACAGTTATTGCGATTATAAAATAGTTTATTTATGTACATTAATTCTGCTTATAAAACTTGTATAGTTGTTACTTTTGTATAATTGCTATCACTATTTCTTTCTCTGAATGTAGTTATCAACAAATTCAAGAGTATAGACACATTTTATCATCTAAATCGATTAAATCTAATTTAATGACTCTTTCTTCGATATTTTTCATATGAGTAAGACCTTTGAAATATTTATGTATATCTTGAAAAGAGTAGGTGATAAACAACAGCCTTGTCTAAATCGATTATAAATTGTTGCGAAAGTATATTGTCTATTTCAACTGCAGATTTCATATCTTGAGATATGTCTTGAACCGCTTTTGTTAACAGAACAATTGATGGTAAACGGTTGAAGTTTGTTGGATTATTTCTCATAATTTTATTACAAGGACATTGTCATAGGTTTTTTGAAAATCTATATGAATAGTGTTACCTTGCATTTCTTATTAGTTTTTTCTCGATTATTTGCCTTAAACAGAATTCATTACCGTTACGAGATCGTCTTGCTCTAAAACAGAGCTCTGCTTTTCTTCTTCTTGCTCTTGATATTCTGCTTCGATTATGTTCCGTAAATTCTTTCATATATATATATATATTTTTTTTTGTCTAATGATACTTGTCACTGATATTTCTTATACTGTTGCATATCAAGTTACTCTTTTCGTGTATATAGGTAGGTGTTTTATGCGCAAGTTTTCATTTTTCGAGAATTTCGTATTCATTTATTGCTATTTCTGTGAATACATAGATTAACAATTCATACAACTTTTCTGTACTGTTTTTAAGTTTTCACCGTTCATTTCATCTGAACACGATGGTCTCTTGTTCCATAGTCATTTAATTGCCTTCTTTATTATTTCCTTATTAATGTTTAATTTTATACTTCTACTTCTGTTTGAACTTTTAGTAGACTATATATTGTTTTCTTTGTTCTGTTAATAATGTGTGTTTTTTTATATAATTAAACACATGCAATGATATTACTTGAAGAAGGATGAATTTGCTTAGTTTGACACGATATTAATTACTCTACAAATACTTAAAAAATTTTGATTCTTTGCCATTTACGAGTTACGGACATCAAACATCTCTCAACGTTATATGGATTTAATTTCGGCGCGTCCGCCATTGCGGCGTCGTCACGCCACGGACTCATCAATTACGTGGCTTCATCGGTGTCTCCTTAATGTCTTATCGTCTTAAAATCGTCGCGGGCGAACATAACTCGCCCGCCGGTTCTGTCGCAATTTCGGGAACTGCCTCTCCGCCGTCCTCCTCCCTTTCTCGCGCTGCGCCCTCCCAAAATCGCATTAGCCGATCTCTTCAGCCGAGGGTGAACCCGAGATCCTGGGATAAGCAGCTGGTTCCGTTCGGGGACGCGTGCTCCGACTTTCGCGTTCCGAGAGCGCAGAGAGCGGAGGTAAAGGAGGAAGGACGAGAAGTCACATGCATGCGGAGCGCGCTGCAGTTCGGGGAACTAAATTAGCCAGCGACTCGTCACTTACGGTGATTCTCGGTTCGTTAGGTACCTGATGTGATCTTAATAGCGCAATAGTATAAATAAATATGTAATATAAGATTTACTTTAGGCGCGTAAGTGTCGTTCCACAATACGGACTTTAAGCCTTACGTCGTAAGATATTGACCAATTACAATCGATTATTCTTCTCATATTCGACTATAACGATTGGTCTATTTCTTACTGCTTAGGGCTTAAAATCCTCATTGTGGACCGACACTAAGAGATTCGGACGGCGGAAACGTCGTGCGAAATTCTTCTCTGTCACTCAATCCTCGATTTCTTCATCTCTCAAAGCAGCGATTTCGTGACGATCGGACATAACAACGGACAGATTATTTTGCAAGCCAGGTACAACACGTCTCTCCTCGCGGAGCGTTCTCGCGGCACTCGAGACGCTCTTGCCGCTCTTCACCCGCTT